GCTTGAGGCACATTGTGCTCAGACTGCTACACCTGATCTGTGGCTGAACACAGAGGACTTCAGGGTGGGATTTTCAAAGCTGGTTAGGGTCGGGAACTGGATGCCCAATTTCCATTAAATTCTAACTGGAGTCAGGCATTCAGATCCCTGTGGAGACTCTGAAAGTCTCAATCCCCATCCTGGTCCCTTCCACCACAGCTAAATTCTTTCCCTTTTAAGTTTGTTTCCCAAAGATAGATACTGTTAACATTTCATTTGCAGCCCTTCCATTTATTTCAGCTGGTCCATTAGTGAATCCTATACTGAATGGTCATTGCTTGCTACATAAACTGTGTTCCTTTCCCATTGTTTCTAGTAAAGGTCTCTGTCTCTCTCTCTCTCTCTCATGCTATCAAGAAGAAAATCCATTACAGGTGCTGGAGATAAGCAACACTCCCCCAAGCACCGTTCAGCAGAGCAATGCAGGTCAGACCAGAGGCCAGGTCCTACAAAAGCGGGTCAAAGGTCAGTATGGAAGACATCAATATTCCGCTATTAAATACTTCCTTATGACGCTTGCTCTGTAGTAGGCGTAACTGAATGCATTGTAGGTGCCACACAAGCTGCTTGCTTGGAAAAGCAATCCTGTGCGTATGTCTCTTACAGCCAAACTTTTAAGCCACACGCTTCAGCAGATAACTCAAAACATTCCAAACATCTCTGTTACATTCCTCCTCCCCTTTGGCCAAAACTAACTCCTTTGGGGGGAGAGGAGAACATTTTCAGATGTGTTCACAATCCCCGTCTGATCCATGTAGGAAGCACTGCTGTAATATGAGAATGTGCTCCGGCTATTTAATGCATTGCACTAAGATTCTCTCACACGCTTAAGGAAGTGAATGAAAAGCTGGCTTTCCATCTGGCCCCAAAACTACCAGTATCTCTTTCCAGCTCTGACCAATGCTGAGTGCGCCTCATGCCAGTCAGTGAGGTTCAAGGCTTAGTGTTTCCTTTACTCTGGAACACTGAGGCAAGACACTTCTCCTGTAATATGATGATAAAAAACATCTCAATCTTCCTTCGCACGTAGGGCCCATAGATGGTGCCAGCAACCAGCCGAAGAACCAACCAATCACAAGCTTCAAGAACCTGCCGAGGTCAAAATAAAATCACCAGGGAGAGCAAGATTCCATCTGTTCCCGGGGACCAGGACTACAGGGGTACTAAAAAGTAGGGAGGGTTTTTCTTAATACTCATTTTAAGCAGTATGCTCTGAGGCTGGGAAGCGGAAGGGGAGGTGTGCACACTGCTTTGGTGCTTCCCCCACAGCCTCTCTACAGTTTTTTTTTTTTTTTTTTTTGCACTGTGCTCCAGCTGTTAGTTTCCTTTAAGATGAACTGCGGGTTCTTTTGTTAATAACATGCAAAAGAAAAGGAAACCCCATTTGTCCATCAGCATTCTTACTCCAGGAGACAGCAGTATGGAGTCCACCATCTGGGATTCTGCATGCAGCATATCCTCTTTTCTGTGGAAACGTCCCACACATATGGGGGTGGGGGGGAGGCTATTTAATTATCAAAAGAAATTGCAGACTCTTTTGAAGTATCCCCTGCCCTCTTCTCAGAGGTTTATACGCATTGTCTTGGAGCTGGAAAAGGTGAAGCCTATCTGGAATGCTGCTCAGCTGAGCAGATGTTTGGCAGTGGGAGCAGCCAGCGGCGTTCTAAGCACTTGGCCACGTGCAGAGCATTTCAGATCTGACAGGAGCTTGAAAAAGAGGTTTGGTGGCTGGCAGAGACTTTGTTATGAGCTGGGTTGGAGGTGAACAAAGGCAATGTGTTTTTCTTCTTAAAAACCAAACCCCTCTTTCCAGCAGTTCTCCCCCTGGTTTCTTGGAGGGACATGCGTTTTGTAAATCAATACTAGACTTACCATTTTCCTTTCTTGGCCCTGTTATTTTCTTCACGTTGCAAATAAAGTGGCACAGGGTGGCCATTCCATTGAATAAATGTTGTCTTTATTTCCCAAATATGAATAGCTTCTCTCCACACCCACTTTGCCACCCGCTTGGCATTCAGTGCAAGCATGTAAGGAAATGTCATCTTTATGGCTTCATTCAGTTTCAAAAGGGATGTAAATTATGAAGGGTCTTTGTGCAGCTAAAGCACAGGACAATGGAGTCAGGATGCTTAGATACTGTCCCCAGTTCTGCCACTGATTTACTATGCAACCTTAGGCATGTCACTTAACCACTCTGGGCCTCTGTTTCCACATCTGTCAACTAGGGATAGTAATAATCCACTACTTCACCTTGGATTGGGAGGCTTGATTTGAGATCCTTGAATGGAATGCAATACAAGTGCAAAGTATGTATTATGAAGAATTATTCACTATTTCAGTATAATGTAATAAGGTCTGATGGACACTCCTCTTTGAGTTCTCTGTTAAACAGCAGAAAGCCTGATGAGTCACATTGTAGACAAGAGGGGCCAGGAGAACTTGCAAAGAAATAAAAAGCACACCTAGATAAAATAAGCACAGACCATGTGAAAATAAACCCATTCCAGCAGGCCTTGAGCCAGTCTTCTATTTACAGGACACCATGTGAACCAGATGGGAGCAAGAAACTTAGTGCGATGGAATACCATGAATGTTCCAAATGTGTACATCTCTGCTAAATACCTTTGGGCTGATTCACTCTGAAAAGTCAGTGTTCAGAAGCTAGATCCTATTCCCCTCACAGGCTGCTACTTTGAAGCCTGACACTAAGGCACTGGTTTGTGGACATAACTCAGACTGGAGGTTGCGCATTTGGAAACAAATGGAACCTGATGCTAATTTTCCAGGAACCCCACACAGCTGAAGATGAATCGGAGCCATTGTATGCAATGTTTTTTAATCATTTTCCTACATTTAAGTTAAAAAAATATGAATGTAGAGATTTGAGAAAGAAGACCTCAGACACTTGGAGTCAGTATGTCTGTGTTACTGCACTCCAAAGAGTCGGTCTTCAGTCTCTTGAAGCTGAGTGTCTGTATCATAGGAGAGAGAGGGCACTAATGTTCAGAACTCAGATGAAGGACATTGCCTCTGACCTGGAACGACAGACTCTCCTGTTCTTGCCTTTTACGTGTGAGGAAAGAGACAAGAATTTAAACTCCTCTGGGCCTTTTGTGTGATAACTTTTAGGTGTGTTAAATTAGGGGAGCTCAAACTTTGCCCACCTAAGGTTCACATAATTGACAACTTGCTGGAAGCCCAAGGGCTGCACCGAATTTGCACAAATGGGATAGCTTGTAGCTGCCTTCATCTTCACAGGAGGTGCAGCAGGCAGAGATCACAGGTCTCACCGTGCAAATTTGCACAACCGAGATGCCTACCTCGGAGCAGGTCACTTCTAAGTGGTCTCTCTCCCCCAAAGCACAGAACCAAAACACCAGCCTGCAACAGAAACAGGCCCTGCTGCACGACTGGTCTTTTCTGTCAATTCATCTCTAGGCACCCGGCATTCCACGATCCACACAAAACTAAATACTTGCACAAAATAAACTTGCCTAAAGTATTTTTTCTACTTCAAGCTGGTTACAAAATCAGTAACCAATTCAACAATGATTTTTAGGTTAATATAACTACTAACAAGTTTTCCTACTACCAGTAACTGGTTAATATAGTTTTACAGTGCAGTGGGTTTCCCATAAATCTTTTAAGAGAGCTAAGATTCTTTTTGTAATTGTTATACCCATATTCGTCTAGCTTTGTCTGCTTGAGAGGAGAATATGAGCAATCCTTGGCTTCCCATTTCCCACAAATTATTTTGAGTACCTGTTGCTATTGGCACCTGAGCCACAAGCAACAGATCATATTCATGGAAACTGCTTTCTAATCTGATGCCAACTCTAATCCCTCAGTCTCTGGCCTGGTTTACAGAGGGGAAGCTGTATAGCATTTTTGTAGGCTTGCCATTGCTGCTTGACTGGCAGCCCTTCAGCTCAGATGCTACATACAAACTCTCCTGCTGACTCCAGTCCAGTGCAGAGGGGGAAGTTTTGTTTGCTATTAGGATGCAAATGAATATGTGAGAGAGAGCCACCCACAGGGATAAACAATTTAGTTCCGTTAGGAAATATTTGCACCCTGAAAGAGAGATGGAAAAATCCCAGAGAAGGGAGCAGAGCTGTCCCAGTAGGCAATGAAGGGGCGAGGGACTTGGCAGACAGTTGCTTTAAGGCGATATGAATAGATCACTCAGTGAACGAGACTGAACAGAGAGGCCCTTCAGCCTGGATGGATGAACTCCAAATACTCTGGGCCCTTCTGCCTGGATCCATACTCTGCATTTATATCATGCCTTTCACATGAGCCTCGAGGGGCTTTACAGAGGCTGGTACTGCCCAGATCTTACAAATAGGGAAACTGAGGCATGGAAGTTAAGCAGCTTGACCACGGATGAACAGCAGGTCAGTGGCAGAGTGGAGAACAGAAGCCAGTTCTCCCTCGCCCCCGCCATCGTTAGACCGTGTGGTTTCCCGTGGATTGGATCCCCATGGTCCCATGCAAGGAGTGCCGCTATCGTGGGAGAAGGGGGCGTAGCAGCTCTTGCAACTTCCATCCAACTCCTGCAGAACTTGAACCGAGTTGGGCCCAGAGAACTCCCATGTGTGAAAACGCTTCCCACGCGGATGCCCTGGAAGAGTTCACCCCTGCGGCGTGCCCTGACTTTTACCCGCCATCCCCTACCCCGGAGCGGGGTCGGGGTCGGGGCACGGGGGGCTGCACCCACGGGGCTGGGGCCGAACCTCGCTCGGCGGGGGGAGCCAAGCAGGAGCTGCGCGCCCGGGCTCCGTTCCAGCCCCGCAGTGCAACGGCTCCAGCGAGCCAGGGGCCGGGTCCCCGCGGGGAGCCGAGCGGCCGGCGCGGGGCGGGGCGGAGGGACAGGCCCGCGGGGCGCCCGCGGCTGGACCGAGCGGCGCCTGCGCTGCGGCCCCACTGGCCGGACCCCCCGGCCGGCTTCTCGCGAGAGGCGGCGGCTCAGGGGGAGGAGTCGGGGCTGCTGCCGCCGCCGGAGGCTCCGCTAGCCGAGCGGCTCCGGGCGGAGGTGAGAGCGGGACCTGGGGGCGGGGGCTCCGGCCGGGCGCTGGGATGGAGCCGTGACCCCCCCTAGCCAGGGTGCGAGGGGTCCGCAGCGTCCCACTCCCTCCGGGCACAGCTGGCCAGAGGTGCTGGGTTCCCCCCTCCATCTCCTGGGGTGCAACGGCCCCTCCCCTCCGGGCACAGCTGGCCAGCGGTGCTGGGTTCCCCCCTCCATCACCGGGGTGCAGCGCCTCCCTTCCGGGCACAGCTGGCCAGCGGGGCTGGGTTCCCCCCTCCATCCCCGGGGTGCAACGGCCCCTCCCCTCCGGGCACAGCTGGCCAGCGGTGCTGGGTTCCCGCCTCCATCCCCGGGGTGCAACGGCCCCTCCCCTCCGGGCACAGCTGGCCAGCGGTGCTGGGTTCCCCCCTCCATTCCCGGGGTGCAGCGCCTCCCCTCCGGGCACAGCTGGCCAGCGGTGCTGGGTTCCCCCCTCCATCACCGGGGTGCAACGGCCCCTCCCTTCCAGGCACAGCTGGCCAGTGGGGCTGGATTCCCTCCTCTATCCCCGGGGTTCAACGGCCCCTCCCTTCCGGGCACAGTTGGCCAACAGTACGTGGTTTGCCCCTTCCATCAGGGCACAGGCTGGCTTCCTACTACCCCTGGAGTGCAGCGCACCTGACCCTCCCCTCTAGGCACAGCTGGCCATCGGTGCTGCCGACCCCAAGTTTATTTCCATGGATTTAATGCTGGGTCGGTTTTGTTAATGTGAATACTAACGGGGAAGCTCAGACGCACCAGTTCAGTTCCTCCTCCAGCTGTCCAGCTTCCTGTCATTGATCTT